TGAAACTTACAGAAAAGCTGACATCAGGGGATATAATATACCTTGGCTATGATTGAGGAAATACCCCATTGAAACTAGCTTCAAAATCTGTCTGGTTTAGCCTTCCATGAGCAATACAACAGCCTTTGACTAGCTAATCAGCCTTCGGACAGTCAGATCCCAAAACACTTGTAGTCAGTAAAAGTCTTGCCTGAGGGGGCTGGGAAGGAGACTTACGAGCATTCAGCAAATAACTCAAAATTAACTCCTCTTGCCTCTTCTTTCTGTCTCAGTATGTGGTACCAAAAAACCAACCCAAATAAAACATCCCATAAAACAAAAGCCTCTACGCATAACAGGAAACTGAGGTTTGGATTTAGCCAGGAGCATCAAGAGCTTTGTATACAACAGGCATATACCTAAATACTCAGAGGAAATTTGTGTAACAGGAGGAACCCATCTACTATTTCCATATTTAACCTGCATAATCTACTGCTAATGGATTGAGTTCATGCTTGCACTGGGTCTTAGATTCTAATTTTCCCATATGCAAAATTCTGATATTTGCCATATTTGCAGATTATTTCAGTAATTCCATTTTAGCAGAGATGGGATAATTGTTTACCAGATAGCTGAATGCAATTGAATGTAGCTTATTTCTTAAAATGTAGCAACCAATCTTTTGGCCAGTCAAGTTGAGAAAAGGAGCTGTCAGGCACAGATCATAGACAGGGAGCTTTCACCCTGAAAAGCAATACAACAACAACAGCAACAACAATGAAAAAAACACTAGAAATCATCCTCTTCTTGTTACTATATTAAGGCTAAACGAGCCATGTGGACAGATTCCAAATGTATATATGACTTTCTTGTTTCTGGCTTCATACAAATCTTTAAGAGTTTTGATGGATAAGGTTTGAGTAACAGTATAAATCACTTATTTTCTATTGAAAACCACTTTGACATAGTTCTTTCCTTTTTGCAGAAATTAGTCAAAGATACAGGCCATTTTACTTCCAAAAGCTAGGAAACAATATTGAAGCTGATGTGGAGAAGTTAAAAGTGAGTAACTTTCTAAGCATTTTAAAGCGTCGGTTCCCCATAACCCCTCTCTCCAATCCCAGTTATGTCCAGATTCTGTCACTTTGAGACTGGTAAGACTTGACCAAGCTGATTTCCTTCAGTGACTAAAATGGCTGGATTTCAGAGGGAGAGGAGAGCAGTGCATGTCATTTACTTCAACACTTCCTCCCAAAATACTCTTGTATCCAAGTTTGGATGTTGCTGTCTGGATAGGCAGATGAAAACAGGTTGGATGGTGAGTCAGAGAGTAGCAGTTAGTGGGTTGTACTTCTTTACCTGGAAGCCAGTAACAACTGCAGTCGTGGAGGGATCTGCTGTACCAGGTCCTTCCCTAGTGTACTTCTGTATCAGCAACCTGACAGCAGTGATGGAGTGTACTTTACAAGGTGTGCAGGTGACAAAACTAGAAGGACCAGTCAATACAGTCACAAGGGCAAGGCTGCTAGAAGGACCAGTCAATACAGTCACAAGGGCAAGGCTGCCAGCTGTAGGCTGGAGAACTAGTGAAATTCAGAAAGGACAAATGCAACTTGTTTCACCTGGAATAATCCCTGGCTTCAGTGTCAACTGGCGTCTGCCTGGCCAGGGAGCAGCATTGCTGAGAAGGACCTTAGGGTAGTCGTGAGCAGTGTCCTGGGCACCAGCTAGAGCCTCCCTGGCAGTCAGAAAGGCCAGCAGCAGGAGGAGCAGGAGGAGCCCAGCACTTGTTAGTCCTGCCATATGAGTTGGGGCTGAGGGACCAGGACTGTCTCAGTCCAGACATGCAGTGTCTCCTCATCCTACCTATGAAGAGTTCATTGAGAAGATAGAGAGCAAATTCTTCACAGCAATGATAGAAGGAGAACATGAGACAGTGGACATAAACTGAAACAAGGGAGGTTCAAATTGGATGTAAGAGGGGAAAAAAAACCCCAAACTTCCCCGTGAGGACAGCCAAGCAGTGGAGCAAGTTACCTAAGGAGGTTGTCCAGTCACCATCATTGGAGGGTTTCAACACCCAGCTGCACAACTCTGATCCCATAAGTGACCCTGTTTTGAGCAGGAGGTGGGCCTGAGATCCCCCAAGGTCTGTTGCCACCTGAGTGACACTCTGATTCTATGACAATACTTTGCAAAAGCTCCTCATATATCTATTAAGTTTCACTCATTAAATAAAATGTTATTCCTAGAGATTCAAAAGTGGCAGAATCTGATATAGACTACATGTACAAAAGCCTCTGTAAATTCTTGGTACTCTGTGTACTACATTCATCTAAAGAGTCCCAGCCTGCTTGAAAGCAGGAAGCTATACTGAAGTAATAGCAAGGAAAATTTTAAATCAGATGTTTTTGTTGAGTATCTGAGTCGGTTTCTCTTACTCCTGTGTCTGTAGGTTTATAAGTTATGATAAAGAATGTTTTTCTGACTGAAAATAAGAGAATGAGAACTTCTTGGGCTGATTTGATTACAGATTTATGAATTTACTCACTTCTGTGGTACTGACAGCTGTCAGGGAGAACTCCTGGCACTGGACTTAGGATTTTAATCTTTGTAGTGAGTGGGGCTCAGGAGAGTACATACCCAGTTATTTTAAATAAGAAAACAACTTCCTTCATGAAACTGTTAATTTACAGTCTTCTTTAAAGTGCTTCTTTCTGTCACCAAGTCTACAATTGTGGAAACGAAAGTTTCTGGTTTAGGGAACGTGATGTTTATGAAATACTAGTGACTGTTGGAAAGCACAGTAGAGTTTTGTGAAATAAAGCTGATAGAACAGATTTCCTGAACTGGTTTGACCAAACTAACTCACGATGTGAAGTGTATACATCTGATTTGTGATAGTGACCCCGAATCAGGATCATGGTCAGTTATACTAGCTGTATTAGCTGTGTGCAATATACATTTCAAATCATAGGGATGAAAGGACTACTTGGAAAATGGGCCATGGGCCATGAGTCTTCTATTTTCTCATGAAGGAAAGCATCCATTCTGATCAGGGCACAGAATGCAAATACAGCATCCAAGGCAAGTGAATGTGGTGAATGAACTATTAGTACAGCTTCAGTAGCAACTTGAGTTAGAGGGTTGCACACTGGGTATAGCCCCCCACTAGCAACTGTAGAAGCAGAGTCCACAGCCTCCTAACTAAAAGGACCACAGAGTCACAGAATGAGTGTGATTGGAAGGGACCTCTGCAGGTCATCTGGTCCAGCCACCCTGCTGCTCAAGCAGTTCAGTTATTCAAGTAAAATCTAAGGACCCAAGATTGTAATGTGCTTTAGAATGTTATCTATCTGTTGCTTTCAGAAGTAAGTAGATTTGGGGGTGGGGTGGATGGGGAGGGAGTAGCAGTTGTTGATTTTTAACCTGTGAAAGTACGACTTGGGTTTAATTAAAAAAAAAAAAAAAAAACAAACTACTTTTAGAACTTATGAGTAAGGAGCACTGAAAGAAATAGAGAAAATTTTTTTAGGTAAAATAGATGTTTTTCCAGGGAAGTCTGAATAATGGGAATATCAGAAGATTAGAACAAGAATGGGTTTTGCCTTCAATCTAGTGAAGTGAGGATGAGGGCTTACAGAAACGAAAATGTACCGCTTATTTCTGAAGATTTGCTTTAAACTCCTTGTTTATAATACTCACCATAAAAGTCAGTGTGGTCATACCTGAATATAAATCTTTCTCACCTCTTCCGTATTGATGAATATTCTTAAAATAAATATAATCCACAGAACAGGGTGCACGTTTGCTACTTTGAGCTCAGCAGCATCTTCTCGCCAAGATTGCTTGCAAAAAGTCTATTACGTGCAAGTCAGACAATCCAAAACCACTCTCTCTGGGTTAAGCTCATACTCATGTAAGGAAGGGTATTGTTTGGCCAACTCAGAGTATTGTATTCTGCAGTTGCATTGCAGTCCTTCCTCCTTTCATTGAAGACAAGATTTCACCCATCCATAGCAAAGCAATGGGTATTTTTTTGTTAGGCTGTGCTCTCTGCAAGGGTATGGGATCTTTTCCCATACCCAGATTCCCAGATTCATGGAATCTGTTTATCCTGGTCACTTTGCTGTGAAGCTGTGCCATTTCCTATTCTAAGGAACTCCCTTTGGTTAAACTTTTGCCTATAAATTCTTTCTTATATGCAGGAAATGTGGCCTGTGTCAGATGAACTGCTGGATAGGATGCAATCCCTTCAAATAGATGCTGTAGCAGAAGATACCAGTAATGCTCAAGCAGGTAAGACACTTACTAGCACATCATTATTCTATGCATTCTGCCAAAGATAAAGTTGTGTACATGTACAAAGTAAGTGATCTTACATTAAGGGGATATGAAGAGACTTAATTATTCAGCATTTCAGAAAGAATTGTAATCACTGAAAAGACTAAATTTGCTGCCAGTCTCCCAGAAGTCATACTTAGATGAATTTTCTCTCTTTTCTCTTGTATTTTCCATCACATCTTGGATGAGTTGCATGTTTCATGGTTTTATAGAGCTGTCTCACTGATGCAGGATTATATAGTTACAGTTTTGTAGAAATGTATCTGGAATTTTTTACCAATTTTTTTTAATGGCAGAGGATATAGGATCATATTTGCAACACCGATTTGCAAGCAACAATATCAAATTCATCAGAAATTAGATCCTGCTAAGTTTGCTCACACCATTTGAAAGACATTACGAAATGAATAATGGTAAACTGTAACATACGGCTAATAAGTCTTCCCTAAAGCTAGGTTTGCCGTAACTGTTCTTCAGTAGAGCTGATGGACTTTGTAGGGCAACTCTACTGCTATGTTTCAAAATGAGTATAATTACATTTCCCTAGCAGAAATAATCACGTATGGCTGCAGCAGATGACGTGTTTTAAGTACAAAAGGCTTTATTGTGAATCTATCTACCCTGCAGAAAGATATCTTGACAGCCTGTCAAAGTCAGGTTTTTCTCTCCAGTCAATGGCCATTACTCAGATAGTGGTAGTGAAAGATATCGCACAGGATCTGTTCATACATCTCAAACTTGCCCTGGAGAATGGATGCCATGTAGTTTATGCTAATACTGAATCGCTAATAGCTGTCACTTTTGATGAGGTTGTTCCTGTATTAGATCATTCCCCCCATTCCCTCTCTAGCAGCAGTAACAAAAGCAGCAGAGTGAGTCAGACAGGAGGTGTACTAATATACAGACATAAAAAGGAACTAGTCTGAACTCATGTAATTGGGGGTGGGGGGACGGGAGACGACACAGTTCACTGGCATCATCAGTGCTAAACAGAAGCACATACATACACTTTATTCCAATTTTACAGTGGTCTGTGAGAGTCCCTTGCTTTAGGCAATGTACATTGCCAGACAACTGTGTCTGTACATTGTACAGACAACGGTGAAGCTTTCAGAACCTTTTAAGGAAGCACCTGTAGTTCTACCCTTAAAAACCTAAGAACAAATAGTAACTAACAGATTTTTACATTCTTTTTTAGTCTTGGAATGCTGCAGCATGATCCAGATCATAACTCAGTCTAGTTCAAGCCTGAAGTGGCGCTTCCTTTGATAGTGAGAATTAGTTTGAAGGATGTAGATGACAAATTATTTTATTTGGTAGGCATTACTTGTAAAAGTGTATTCTTTGGGATTATAAAGAATAAACAAGGCAAAAAGGATTAATTACAAAATACCCAGGCAGATATTTTACATAATGATTTGCAAACATGACTTAAATGACAAATAATTTGTGCTGTATGAAATAACACCTATTACAGTGGTGTTATTTTTCATCATTTTGCATTCTAATTTTGCACTGATTAAACCCCAGTTAATGCCAGTGGAGAGACAGCAGTAAATCAGACCCTGCAAATGCCTGCAGGTACTATTTTTTTCAGTGGTTGAGAACTTGATGTCAATATAAGTAGAGCATGCAGTGAATTCTGACACCACTTAAATAAGTGGGATTTTGACACCGATAGCTTAAACAAGCCTGTGCTTCTTAGATAAAGCTTGTAATACTTCTCTGTAAAGGCATTCTATAAAATAAAACACAGCTTCTGCTGGAAGTGATGATTAATATTAAAGGTAGATGAATAGATTCTAGTGTCATTACAACAAGCTGTATAATTGTATTTGGATGTATTTAAAATATTTAAATTTTGTCCCTTTCAGATCAGCCTAATTCTCTACACAGTATTCAAGGTCCTGTGACCAGTCAGGTTAATGAAGACCTGTTTGCTGCCTCCCCTGAGAACCAGCCTGTTGAGAGCTGTGAGATCCCACTTACATCTGCTGATAATCTAGAAAGAAAACTTCAGTGTGAATACAACTACCATGTATATGGGAGCCGGATGGATAAAGCAGTTATACCTATAATATACACCTCTGAAATGAGAGAGGAAGAAAGGAGACGTCGAGTTTGCTATGATCCACATGCAAAGCCATCTCCTACTCTGTGGAGTGAGCTGCATCCCAGAGCTGAAAAAAAAAGATCAAACACTAATCCATTTATTTGGCCAGCCGTAGTAACACCAAAACAGGGAACTGTAGATATTTTTTATGGGATAAACCGTAACGCAGATGCTGCCTATGGCTTGAGTTCAGCCAGTACCTTTAACCTAGGCACACCTGTGCCTGAATCTGGCCTAAACCCAAAGTCACAGACCAATGCAAACTGGTATCCAAATGCAGACACAGATACAGGTAAGATTCCTCCTCCTCCAACACCTATGTTTCTGAATACACACTTGTTCTCTAAAAATTAAGTGGTCAATAGCATCTTGTAGTTTGTGTAACACTTCCTGCTAGCAGTTGATCTGCAATATAGCAAAGAGGGATTTATTTCATGAAGTTCTCTGTCTGCTTGACATTACTTCAGGTTGCTAAAACAGTATCTTTGGCTTCCTTATGCTGCTTTCACTGATTTCAGACTGTCAGTTTCAAGTGAACCATTTCTAAAGCATCAGTGTAATAGAGAAGCATCAGACCCAATATCTAACTCTTCCACTACCAGCCAAATAATAGCAAATGGCAGATACTGCTACAGCAGATACTGCTACAGCAGCTACCAAAACAAAGAGCTGCTACCAGTCATTCTAGGAAAGCAGTCAATAGCTATTGACTCTCAAAAATGTAACATTCATACCATAGGTTCTGCTTGTGCAGAAACCTCATTTGTAGCATTTCAGAAAATAAATGGGTATTTTTAGCTTGATTTGCAAAAAGGTATGAGACACTTAAGGCTCAGGGGCCCAACAAGGAGCTGAGGCTTATAACTGGTTTCTCCAGAGAGCTGTGGCTGGTGCTGATGGGGAGCTTCTGTTGTTATTTGCTAGTGAGCTGTGGCATAGAAACATGTGGAGACAAAGAAAGAGAACACTAAGCCTTGGCAAAAAGTATACGTAAAATGGTAACTAGAAGGCAGGGATTAGAACCGTCAACATCACTAATAAATTGAATTCTTCTGTTTGAAAGAAAAAATAAAAAATAAAAGTTATTATAGAGAGGCTCCATGGAATAGCATGGCAGATATTGGACTAAGATGCAGAAGAGCTGCATTACAGCTCTTGTATTGGTGTGTTGGGTGACCATAACTCAGCCACTCTTACTGCCCCAACATAAGTTCAAGAGCTCATCTGAGGGCATCCAAAACAATTACTGCCCTGGGCTGGAAGTTACATCTCTGCCAAACATTACTGCCACCAGCAGAAGATGCAGTGGTGTCCATGCCTTTGCTAGAGCCAGTCACAAGCAGCATGCTCGTACAAACCGCAGTCAGCCTCAGCAGTAAGCAGTAGGAGCACACTTGGGAGTTTGGAATTTGCCAATTTGAAGACCTTCTATGAGGCAGCTCAGTCCATAACTGTTGTGTGCTGTGTTCCCACACTGCTGCCTACTAGCCAGGTGTTCACACACCCATGTGGAAGCCCATTGCCCTCACTGGGATCCAAGGGTGGTTAAAGCTATTAGTCACTGAGCAAAACCCTGATAAGGTTATTGCTTTAAGAGAGTTACTCAAAGGGATATAATAATTAAAAAGCTTCTCGTCTCTTTGTATTTAAGAGCACAAACTGTGTAGTTATACTGTTACAAAAGATGGCAGTCATTTTTAAATACACTTGCTTTATTTACATAATGCTTTTGACATTTTTTTTGTTTTCCCTTTTTGTTTAGGTAACACAGATTCCACTTCTTTCATAAGGGGAACTTTTAGACGATGTGCTAGTGTGCCCAGAGCAAGTGTAGGTAAGTGCTGTAGCCTCTATGTGTCCTAGTAGCCCACAGGCTGTGCATTGCATCCTAAACAGTAAAGCAGAAAACTTCAGGATCTTGAAATAATTTATGTCATTGCTTAATACCTCTAACCACAGTTATCAGTATCAGTGTGCAAAACTAATTCCTGTTTCTAGAAGGACCTGTACACACCATTAAATGTGTATTTGATGGATCATGGACAATATCTTTTTCTATGTGAAAGAGCTTTTAAAAACCTGAAGGCATTGTAACATCTGCACAGCAAAACCAGTCACTTTCTTAGATTAAATGTCACATTGCTGTGACTTTACCCAGCTCGTGAACCACACATGCATTTGGGACACCTGTCCTTTCTTGCTCTGGATTTTGAATACAAATCTCTAGCTGCAGGCTTTGTGCTGATCACCCTTCCTTGAGGCACAGGTCTCTACAGTTCAACTGTCTTAAGCTCCTGAAATTATGTCCTGCCATTTAGGAGTTGTTAATATAAGCTCCTTTCAAGATGTGTGGCTTGGGACACCCTCAACTCTTTAATTAACCCTTTCAAGGCTTGTCCAAGTTTGTAAGTGGCTTACACTTACAAAGAAAACTGGAAACAGCAGGTTTCTCTCTTCTTGACTATATGCTCCTTAAAGTCTTGACATAATGTCCCAAACATGACAAACAAGAAAAGTGTAGAGGCTTGGGAAAGGAGGTATATAAGCACAGTAACTTTTACTCTTGACAAAGCATTTGTATGCGTTTTCATGTCTTGTGCTAGCTTCATTTTGCTACCAGTTAAGAAAATAACACACACATGAGATTTCTTAATTTTTTAGCTAAAAATATGAATGCATTTCTCAAGTCCTTCACCTCAAAGAAAAAAAAAATATATGTACAGGAATCATAATATTTTGAGACATGATAAAATGCATTCCGTTTGTGCAACTTCTAGAACCTAATCATGCATACATATAAGTATTTCTGACTAGCAGTTTCAGGTTAACAAATATTAAATGCATTTAATCATTTTCATGCATGACCATAGATCTCCACAGTTAACCTTGTAATGGAGTGTGTAACGAGGATATTTGTGCATCTAATCCTCATTTTGGATGATTAAATACAGAGTTTGGTGTGTCATTTTAAGTATCCGTGCTTCAGTTTTATACCTAGGTTGTGATATTCACCATTTAAACTAGAGTCAGAATATTTAATGGGTGATTATCCAAACAGAATTCAGAAAACACTGTCAAGAGAATAGAAAACTGATGTCATCCAATATGACTAGAATAGTCAGTTTCATGTTATGTGTGGAAATCAGATAACTAAGCAAAAGACACCAAATTAGGTGTTTAACTAATCACATACAAATAAACTACAGGTGCAAGCTCACGGAGGTGCACACAATTTAGCAGTGCAATCAGTGCATATTGACTTTTATTGCTGAGGATTCAAACCTTAAAGGAGAAACATTTTTTGGTAAGGCATCTTGGAAAACATTCTAGTCTTGCCTTAGAACCAAAAGTACAGAACAGGGGAAAAAATAAAAAATACATAACAAAAAGAGAAATGTTGTTGAAACAAACACTTCACATGTAGTGCACTGTGAAAATAGATACAACTCAAGAATACACTCCTAGATAGCAGAGATGAAATACACTGTGAAAGGGAGATGCCATCAAGACAGCGTAGTATAACATGGAATATAGAAACTTTATGAGCAACTAGAAACAAATTTCTGTCGTATCACAGAACTTTGAAGTCACAACTGTAAATGTGAATGTACATCTATGAAAAGTAAAGCTGGGAGGCAGAAGAAGTAAGGCTTTAAAATTTAAGCAAAAAGTGCTTTCAAGTAAAGACTACTTCATGAAGTTGTTAGCCGGCAAAAAGTGAGGCTGCTACCACGCATTCCTAAAGTGCAGGGAATATTATTTATGTCTAGTAATTACCAGCATGTAAGGCTTGGTTATGCCACTTTGTCATAAAATAGAATAGGATTAGCTTTCACTTTGTGAAAGTACGTTTGAAAATACACTTGCAGTTGCCAGTAGATGGCTATTTCTGCATTAAATGCAATAAAAACATTTAATCACTGCCCTTATTAGCAGAACTTTCTTCCTCCTTACCTCATGTTACTTCTTGACATTTGAACAATATGCAGTTGATTGTAAAATTGTATTAAACTCCCTTATACAGAAGAGTCAGTCAAGTACAACATAACTAACAGTTCTGGAATTCAAATTGGATCCTACAATCACATGAAGATTGAAGAGCACAATCAAAACATCAGCCCTTCTCCTGTTGCTACAGAAGAAGCTTATAGGTATTATGAAGCAATTGGTGTGTTTGGTAAGAGAAATATCTCCTTAGTTCTGATGTATTGTCTCCATATATTCTTCTGAAAATCATTTGGTTTGGAAGGTATGAAAGCAGTACAGCTTTCTCCCTCTGATACTTGAGAAATAACTGTTTGGGTCCTTTTCTTCTATGTGCGTAAGAGTGTATAAAACAAGTAAGAGTTTGTACTAATACTGTTCTGTAATACCGTGTACCTCATTTGTCCTGTAGTTTTATGACCTCTTACGAGACACCAGATACAAGTATTGATGTATGTGCATCAAGAGCAAGAGGAGTAACAACACTCAGATTGGTAGAAGCAAGGTTAGGATTGGCGGTCCTAACCTGGCTGTGTTCAGGTCATAGAATATCCTGAGTTGGAAGGGACCCATGGAAGTCATCAAGCCCAATGCCTGAAACCACACAGGGAAACCTAAAAGTTAAACCAGATATCTAAGAGCATTGCCCAAACGCTTCTTGACCACTGACAGGTTTGGGGCTGCAATCACTTCATTCCAGTAGAAATTGGAAGATTCCGAAATTCAGTTGATTTTTGTTGGTCAATACCAATTTAAACTATCACTGTGTATTCCTGAGTAAACAAATTACGAGTGTCCCAGAATATGAAACATATCATACAGACAACAGTAAGCTGTGTTGGAACTCTGGGAAGGAGCTTTTCAATCTCACAGGTTTAAGTGATTAACTGTGATAGCCTCAGATCAAAAATCAAGTCCAGCAACTGACCTGTGAACACGTGTGTCCTGAAGTGTTTCTTCCCTGGCATCATTGGGTAAGACTGCCTTCAGTGAAATCCACTTCTGATTGTTACCACTAAAATTCTACCAATAAGTAGTCGGGGAAGAACAGGTAGGATAGCAGAAGGAGCAGAAGAAATGTTAAACAATGCCATTTTCTTATACTCTTTGCAGATGATGAAAGTGCCCTGACTGATGAACATCTGAGTCTAGTGAGAGAGAAGTTGGCCAAACAGTGGAAGCACTGTGCTCGTAAACTGGGCTTATCTGATCCTGAGATCGATGAAATTGATCATGACTATGAGCGAGATGGACTAAGAGAAAAAGTTCACCAAATGCTGGATAAGTGGGCAATGAGGGAAGGTGTCAAAGGTGCTACAGTTGGAAAGCTCGCCAAAGCCCTTTTTGGCTGCCAAAGACTGGATATCCTTAATAGTTTAATGCAAATCAATGAGGAATAAATTGACAGAGAATGGGGAGAAAATTAGGGTATTTTTTCCTGAAGACCTTCCAATAACAAGTAATAATTCTGAACATGCTTTCTGGAGCTCTCTTTTTTGCACAAACTTTTGGGAATAAGTTTTTTCTGCCAAGCCATTCTCAGTGAGTACATCCAGTAAATCAGAAAGTTTCTGTCAAGATAATTGGTTTTCCAGAAGGATAAGCCAGGAGGGACCACAGCCAGGACAGCTGACCTGAATGAGCCAAAGGGACATTCCATACCACAGAATATCATGCTCAGTATATAAACTGGGGGGAGTTAGCTGGAAGGGACCGATTGCTGCTCAGGGGCCACCTGTATATCGGTCAGCAAGTGGTACATCAGTGTTGGGGTGGGTTTTTTGTTTTATCTCTCTCTTTGTTATTATTACCCTTTTCATTATTATTAGGGTTAATTTTACATTACACTTTAATTAAGCCATTCTTATCTCAACCCATAGCTTGAGCCATAAGCTCCAGCAGTTGAGAGTTAAAAGCAAAAAAAAAAAGATGCCTTCAACTTCTGTGAGTTTACAAAACTACAGTCATTTTAATATGCTCATGCTCAATGTCAAATATACAGCTGTAAAAGAACTTCATACCATGCATTGTGTTCAAAACTGAAAATATTAAAGTATCTGATATTGAATGGCCTCTGGGTATAATCAGCATAAAACCAACATAAAAGAGACTCAGATGAAGTGTTTAAACCAACTGTGATGGAACCTTATGGGGAATTCTGCCATGCGTGCTATTCTTTCTTCTAGGAGGTCTTTCAGCTGTGTACCTTCGCTGTCTTAGTCAGGGGTACAGCAAAATGACATGGAAAAGAAACGTAAGCGTTGACACGCTACAGCAGTCTTTAACCACTGTTTCAAAGAAGCAGGGTTTGATCACTTCCTAAGAAAAAGCAGTGACCTTTTTGCTGTCCATTAAGCAGAGCGTTTTCTCTTTGATCTATATGTTGCATCAAGCAGCTTTAAATAAACTATGCCACTTTTCTAGGATTGACTTTTCAACATTATACTACAACAAATGAAAACCTTTCAGCCTTGTAGGTATATGGAAAATAGAGTAAGAATCTCAGAGCCTCTGAAACACACCCAGTCTTGTACATGGTGAGAAAGAGCTACAGGGAAACAAAGTAGGAAGGATGATCTAGTACAAGCAGGGCCACAGCAGAGGTAGCTATTACCTGGAGGGCTTTCTTCCCTGTGTCCTAGTGCCCTCTAGGCATTTTTCCACCCCTCCCCCATCCCAGTTTCTACAGAGTACAGAAAGTGCTCCTTGCAGCATGCCAGGTTTCCCTCCTAGCATACCAATGAGCATCAGGAGTCAGCCGACCAATGTTCATTCATTCCTCATCACAAAACAGCACTTAGGGAAAGTGCAATTCACACTCATACCCTTAATACAGCCCCTGGGGAGAAGGGAATGGGGGAGTTAGGATCAGAACAAATTCCAAAGTCCAGAAACTACCTTTGTGCTGAAGAAAGTATTGCCTATGAGTGAAATGAAGGAGACCAGAGTCCTGACTTACGCAGGATTTCCCTCTCCTCCTCTACAATGCTAAGTGTGTCACTTCCTTTCTCTTTAGCACAGTTTCCTTGTCTCTTCGGTACAGACACTAACTTCTGCCAGAACTAAGATGCAATCAGATAATAAGCATTAAAGCTTATTATTAGAGCTCAGAGAGATGCTTGATGAGACCTCTTTGAGACAAAAATCCACGCTAATCACCTTAACAAAGCAGTAATACTGCTTGGATTTTGAGCAGTGGGTTGCAATTTCTGGCCACCCACACACATCTCAAGAGAATTAAATGCAGCATCAGAAGGGACATTGGGTCACTGAGTTCACTAAATAGGTACATTCAACCCCTTCCAAAATCATATAAAGAACTGCCTTCTGAATGTTACTTTTGCCCTCTCCAAGGGAGAAGCTGCTTCTGCTTTTGTCCCAGGGTATTTCGAGCAGTTTCGGGTCTCTGAATCTCTAGAATACCTGGTCTCTAGAATACCTGATTCTGTGAACAAAAATTACACGAAGACTGCTTAGATTTACAGGCTGGAGATCGTACTCAACTTTGAAGTAATGAGACCATCTCACATTGATGTATCTGCACTTGGAATTATAATGCAGTTATTCATGAACATATGAAAAGTACAGAGATGCTACTTAGGCTGACAGACATCTGTTCTTTGCTCACGTAAGAAAGGTAACAGACAACATAAAGAAAACAATTCTTAAATGCACATCTGTGCCTTAGTTTCTTCATCAGTCTGAAATGTTCTTTGAGTCAAGGTACCTGGGATCTTGTACTACCAGCTGTTCTGCTTATGACAAAGCATCCTTTTCTTTGCTGTGTAAACCCGGTTGTTCTCAACTTGGCTAGTATTCTAGCTAAATAGGCCTCCTGCTACGAAAACATATGCTGCTACTCTCCACACTTCACAGCTTCAAAACTAATTTCATGTCTACTCAATCTTTCTTGCTTGGAAGGTCAATACCAAATCATAGAAACATCAGCATTTTCACATCTTCGTTCTGAATGTGGCAATTCACCACTACCCAAATCTTACCTCTTTATGTAGCTGCAGCAGCGGGGTTTTGTTCCAAAGTGAAAACACTTTCCTGGAATTATCAATATCCAAGAGGCACAAATGCCCAAGTAACAAAACAGGCATGAAAATAGCAGGATATTGCACTTGATAGAAGTAGCTAAAATAAAAGGCAAAAAGGATCAGTCAATATGTACACAGATTCAAGAAGCAACTCTACAGCAAGAATCAAGATCTACCTGGATCACAAGGGACCCCAACCAGACACAGATACCGCTGTCACATATCTAAGGCAGGAACTGATGGCCCTGTACTAAGCTGAAATGAGGCTCCTTGGCCCATGAGCAGAGGGTATGGGTGAGACCTCAGCTGAGGCCGATCATGGCCATTAAAGCCTACTAGTGCCCTGATGGCCCTGACAAATTAGCTGCTCCTTAAAAGCTCCAGATTTAAAGCCTAGCTAGTGGTAACGATTCTGGTGTCTTGTATGGGATTGCTGCTGCTGATAGAAGAATCTCACGTATGGATGAAAGTAATGTCTTTGGAGACCTGGAATTAGTCTTTTTGCCTGATCTTCCAGCATGTCTCAAGTTGTGTGCATGTTCCACTATGTCAATATAACTGACTTTTCTAGATTTTTCTACAACCTGAGGAAGTACAAAAATAGTAGATACATGTTTTCTATCCAACCAGGAATCAGAAGGCTACTTTGTCCCTTGCAATTTAATAGGCAAACTGAAAGATCTCACTGTTCTGTCCCTCACAAGAAGTTTGGGAAAATACTTACGGGCTTGGAAATGGCATTTGAATGACTCTTTCCGCTACTGTTCAGTTCTGTAAGGAACAAATCCATGCAGCATTGACAGTGCAGTTGGCTGCAGGGGCTGTGAGGGTTCATCACAGGTGACAAAGTCCAAGGGTGCAGCAGTGATGCCCTTCAGAGCCTTGCATAATTCTGACAGCAGCAGCCAGTAGTTGTCGCTAAGCACAAGTTTCTGACTGTAGGGATGACCTTTCTGGAGAGATGGGGCAACACTACGGAGGAGCAAAATAATTACAGGGCAGTGAAGAGGGAAAGGGAAATCTGGGTCTGGGGGGACATTACCAACAGAGCAGTGCTACCTCTTTTAAATGTGTGTGTTTTTCTTTTCCATGCCGTAGCCAGAAATAGTTCCCAGAACCTGAACCATCAAGCAGTAACTAGACAAATAAAGATGTTTTATGGGAGAAAACAGTACTAGTGCCCCAGTTGTTCTCAACTCTTTCACAGGCTGTGCAAGAGCAAGCCTGTGTCTGGCTTGCTCAAAGAATTTTCCTTTCAGACAGTAATTTATGAGGAGAACATTTCTGAGGAAATTGTTGGGCTGAAATACTTAATTCTCCCAGTTGCCCATCATTATGTCTAAACCTGCTTTACTGACAAGAGTGGATGTTCTGGTGAACTGGGTAGGTTAACAGTCTGAAGCTGTGCGTTTACACTCTCTTTGTCCCTGGATCTTCCACCTGCTGCATCCAACCTTGGCAGAATCCTGTTTCTACAGCTACATCTTCAGCCACTGCCCTGTGAGCCCAGACAGCAACTTTCTCCTTGGGAGCAACTGTATCCTGTCACCCCTCATGGTGCCAGTCATTTTCCTTACACACATAGAAACAAGTCTTTTGCCAGTGCCATTTCTGCCCAACTGCCATGTAAGTCTGTTTCTTCCCAGGCCAAAGAAGGTGGGACACTCACTGTGGGAGGGATTGCATGGTCCAGGCACTTGGGACAGGAATGGCCACTTCACAGGCTGTGATGGAAGGCCTGGAGATGGCACATGGTGCAACACCTCAACTGTGACAGCCTCTTCTACAAAGGAACCACGCAGCTTTTGTCACACTGACAGGGGAGTTAACCCATCTGGAGCTACCCCATCCTTTTCTTAAGAAGTGATGCATAAACGTCCCCATCTCCCTTTTCTCTCATTTGGTGAGGGCTTCTGGTTTTACCTTTCTACTTACTTCTTGCCCTGCCCCTACATTTTATGATGGACACTTTCTACCTTATCACTTAGTTCTTCAGCACAGATTCTGAGAATGTGTTACATCTCCATCAGCCATAAAAGTTAGAGGATATGTAGCTAGATTGAAAAGCATTTTAACAGGTATGAACTTGGATACAGGATTGAGACCTTTCTGTCTGAAGCTCATAGTGATACCTGAGACAGGAGCCCCTTTTGATTTATGGGAATTGCAGAATTCAGGAGAAATAAATAAATAAATAAGCAAACAAACAAACAAAACAGTTTGTGTGGCAGAAGACCAAGCTACCTCTTTCCTAAACACATAGTCAACAGCCACCTCCAGTCATTTTCCACCAGAAAGAAATGTAGACAGTGGCACAACAAAGATGAGCCTCTGAAAGTGACCTAGGAGCCAAAGAA